CCGGCTTTCGCCCGGATCTCCCGCACCCCGCCCGTAGTGGCTTCCTTTTTGAGCCCCTCATTTTGAGGAAGCTGCTTGACCGGAGCCAGCAAGAGGCTATCGTGAGAGAATTCGAGTTGTTTGCGGACTCGTCTGTGCTTAACGATGACGACGACCTGAGGCCAAAACCCTGGTCAGCCGCCTACTTTCTCTTCCAGTCATACCTCTGTGGATTCGGCGTCTCGTATTCGGCCGAAAAGGCCTGTCAATGGCTGCGCCGAGCTGCCGAGGCGCAGGTAGAAACAGCGACAACTGACTACCTCGCAATCGCATGGTTCAACCGGATACACGCGGCCCTGGGAGTCCCGAATCCATACGATGCTGAAAAGCAGTTCGATAACGTTTTTTGGGGCGTTGTTCGAGGGCACAGGCATTGTTACGAGGACAGCGATGTACTCATGAGAGCGAGCGCGAACGAGAAGTACATGCAAACGTGGGAGCATAAAATGGGGGATGCCGACTTCCTCTACCGATCTTTAACTAGCGCAACTGGCATGCCCTTTTTTGCCTCGAGAAAACTTACTAGACAATGGGATCTCGACGACATGGCCATTCTCGATGGCCAGATCAAACAGGAACTGGGCCCAGCCTACAACGACTGCCTCCGCCCCGTCCCAGGGACAGATGATGACGAGGCAGACGCCCCGAGTGATGGCTATCGATTTGACAAGATTTTTATCAATCACATGGGGCATGGCCTGTTGCATTTGGCAGCATCATTTGGTAAGCTCGGCGCCATCAAGCATCTTGCTCAAACGTATCTTTGCGACATCAACAACAAGAACCAGTCGCATTCCGACACAGCTCTCACTTGCGCATGTCGATGCGGCCGGTTCAGCACGGCCATGTGGCTCCTCGAGAATGGCGCCGATGCAAACGGCGGGTCGTTTTGCGAGGAGTCGCCGCTTCATTGCATCAGCGGCTTCAAAACCGAGGCTGAGATGGATGATGCTGTGGCAAAATTGGTTGCAGCTGGAGGGGACTTGGAAAAGCACTCGGAAGCTTCGCGAAAAGACATACGAGGCATCTTTGCCGACTGGGAGGACAGCTTCTCCATGACTCTGACGCCCCTTGGTCGAGCCGTGCTTCGGAACAGCCTGCCAGCTGTGAGAGTTTTGCTGAAGCACGGCGCCAGTCCGATACGCAAGAAGGTTGATAGGAATCGGGCCAACATCCCGGCGATCGAGCTGGCCGCCGTGCTAACGCTGCCCGACATTCTCGAAGACCTCATCCAGAAAGCCGAAGAGACGGTTTCGCTCTTTGACGAGTGCGGCATGTTGGATGCTGCCCGTTCTGACAAGATCACTCCATACGATCCGCTTTCCCTCCACAGCCGTCTGGTCCGGTGCGGCGTGGACTACAAAACCGCCCTCAAGCGCACGCTTCGACTTCTTCGGGACAATAGCCAGAAGCAGGGGAAAGTGGAAGTGCATCCTGTTGGCAAGCATCTGTGCAATGAGATCGCGCTGGGCAACAAGGACATTGTCGAGGCCTTGCTTGACCTGGGCCACCCAGTTGAAGGCTCACCAGAGTGGCGACCAATCCGAGAAGCTATCAAGGCAAACAACACGGAGGTATTCCAATTGCTGGTTGAGTGGGGGTCCCCGATCTCCTTCCCTGAAAACGGTTCCAAGTCTCTACTCCACTTGTTCGCAGAGCGTGCACCACACACCCCCCGCGACATAACTATTGCCGAGCACCTGATCGACGTGTTTGCCATCGCAGTTGACCCCGTCGTCGAGAACCAGCCCTCGCCCCTTTTCATGGCCGTGCAGCATGGTTTCCACGAGCTAGCCGACCTCCTGCTTTCCCGCGGGGCTGGACCATCCCTCAACACGCTGCACGTCGTACCCTCGCAACCCGGCACCGACCCGGTCTCCCTGCTCGGCCTGCTCGTCCGATCGCAGACGTCCTTCTCGCTGCGCGCCATCGCGTACCTCGCTGGAACCCACAAGCGCCCCAACTCGCCGCACACCGAACTCGCCCCGCTCGCCACGGCAGACGAGTTTTCCGTCGTTCACGCCCTCGCCCTGGTGCCCCCGGCCGATTGGAACAGCCACGGCCAGATCTCGGCCAGTATCGTCCAGTTCGTGCTCGACATGTTCCCCACCCCGGCCAGCCTCGGCCGCATGGCCGAGCATCCGATGGTCGGGACGCCGCTGTCGTTAGCCGTCCTCACAGCGCACGCCGAGCTGGTGAGTGCGCTGCTGGCGTCGCCGGGGTACCGGGGTGATTGGAACAAGGTCGCAAAGCTGGAAGGCGCCCCGGCCGCGGCGGCCGGCGTGGCGATGGCGCCCGTCGCACTGTCGCAGCGGTTGGCGGTCGCGACGCTGCTGCAGCTCGAGGGGACGGGGTCAGTCGCGAGAGAGAAGGTGGCCGAGCTGCGGCGGAGGGTGGAGATCGCGCGAGCGCTGATGGCGTTGGAGGCTGCGCTGGGGGTCGGGGCGGCCGTGTCGCCTGCTGAGCAGGAGAACCTGAGGGAGGTCTGGAGCGGCGTCGACTTTGAGGCGCGGATTCAGGGGCTCGAGGGCCGGTTGGCGAGTGACTTTGCCATGCCCGAGATCAGGCGCGATGGGGAGGAGGTCAATCTGCCTGTGGATCTGTCGGTGCTGACGGATGAGAAACCAACCCACTGGAGCGAGGGGTGTGAAATGACATCGGAGATGTCGCTGCGCATCTTTTTGAAGCATTTTAGGAAGGATAACCAGATTTTTGGGGACGGCATTGTCAAGGCGATGGGGAAGCTGTTCAACAAGCGGAATGATGAGAGCGATGATGAGGGGGGGAAGGGGGGGCAAGCTTGAGCCCGGGGGGGGGGGGGCGTAGTGCGGGTGTGTCAACTACCAACTTGAACCTGGTGGTGTCTTGGCTGCGCTGCTCCCTCTCTTTCATTGCGATCAGAGCCTTTTTGGGGCGAGCTGTTTGTACTAACATGATGCTGATGATATATTGTACCTAAGCTAGGTAGGTACCTATGTGCCTACGCTACACTGAATCCGTGCCTTCACTTGAAATCCTGAACTTCTCTCACCATAATTATGGAAGCGATGGATTGAAGTCTTTCATCAGGACTACGGGATGAAATTTTTTCATCGGGACTACGGGATGAAAGCCTTCCGTCGCAACTAACAGAGAGCCACCCATTCTCACTGGCATACAGACTACTTGTTCTCATTTCGAGGGCCCATACTGGATGTACTTGATTTATACAGTGGCCTTCTTGCTTCGCCGACATCTTTCCATTAGCGACCGCTTTTCCCTTGGGCTTCTGGGTGTCGCTCGGCCCTGCGGCGGCCCCGTCCCTTTTCCCTCGTTCGCTTTCCCGCCAGGTCTCACGGGGAGTACCGATTGGCGCCTCTGCCATACTTCCCGGCACTGGCGTTGGGCGAGCCAGGATCCAGGATGAAATACAGGATCTCGAGATTGGGGAGACAGTCGACGAAGCCGGCAACCTCATCAGGGCAGGCCCGAAACTTATCCAACCTAGAGAGTTTGAGCCCAGGAGGTAATCTCTCCGTCCGAGAGGGGATCGCGGCCGACAACGTCGAATCCGACACCATGAGCAAGGTCGCGCCATCTGGCCACAGTGACGAGGCGCTCTGGGTGTTTGGGATCGTTCATCCAGTTACCGAACTGAGTGGTGATGGTGTTGAAGTCCTTGGAAAACTTTCTGATTGAAATCGCACCGGTGTGCTGGTCAAGTGCATCCGGATCTAGGTCTACACGACGACGCAGCACCGGCACCGTGTCCCTGCCGGATTGGATTTGGAGTCTTCTCCGGAATTGAGCAGCTGCCGCCAGATTCCTGTACAGTATGAAGGAGGTGTATGATGAGGAGGAGCCGCACTACATTCTGCGAGCCAACCGGAATAATGCCTGGTTCCCGCTCATGGATGACCAGAGCGGGCGGCTGTTCGTTATGATGAAAGTCTTTCATCCCTTGGTTGTGATGAAAAATAAAGCTTCCATCCTTTAGTTGCGATAAAAAACTTTCATCATGTTTTGTGATAAAAGACTTTTTCATCCCTTTTATTTATGATGAGAAACTTCCACCCCTTAACTACAGTGAGAGTAGATCTCAGAGATGGAAGAGAAGGAAGAGACAATAAGACCGATGGCGATGCCACGGCTCCTCAGGGCACTGAATGGAGGCTGCGATGGGTACATTGCGAGCTGCGGCCTATGCCAAGTCTAAGGCATCTTCTCTGGCCTGTTCCAGCCGGGTTCTCATGGCCTAGATGTTATGAATATGTGCCCGCAACTCATCTACTTGGGACCGTAAATTCTGCTCGCGGGTGGTGGTAAGTATGGCCTCTCCCTGGCGCCTCCATAGCCCCCTAAGTCGATACGATAATTATTACTCGGTAGTGGCTTACGTGAGCCAGCGGGAGATGACGAACTCAGGGGCTTCGCCCAGCCGGAAAAGTTCACGATACTACGAGAGCCTAGGATACTTCGGGCTTCTGAGACCGTACTTTCGTTAATGAAATAATTGAGGATAATAGCTTAAACTTGAATCTTGCCGACGAAAAATTTGGTCGTCTTGAAGGGATCGGTTCGTGCAGGGGACGGCTGTTGAAAAAAGTTGACATATTACACCACTGGTAATCTGATTGCTACATATCTAGAATCTGCAAAAATGAATGTGTAAACAGAAAGCCGTGTCAATGACGGGAATTGAGCCCGACGTGGGGGGTCGAACCCACAACCTTGAGATACCTGGCTGGAGAACCATAAGAGTCTCACGCTCTACCGATTGAGCCAGCCGGGCTTTGCTGGATGTTGGGATGTTAATTTTGAATTGTAGGTTAATAGCTCAAAATAGTGAAGAGTTTTGCTCAGAACCTTCCTGACTCACGAGGACGGAGACAGTCAAGTCTGACACATCGCTACCCACACCTCTGCATCTCAAGCCGGCAGTCCACCCTTGAGTGGAAACAACAAGCATATTCTACACCAAATCGGGTATGGTGTAACGGTAACATTTCTGACTCTCAAAATCCCAAGACCTTCCAAGATCCAAAGATTGAGCACTCAGGGGCCCGGGGTTCGATTCCCCGTATCCGAGAAATTCACATTCGATGTGACATACATTCATTTTTCTCACTTTTGATTTTGCATTCCATTTTCTCAACAAACCTGATTGGTTCAGCGGAATCTTTTATAGCCTGACTTCCACATGATGGGTGTGTGCCTCATCAAGAGTGGCTTGGCTCTAATGTGTCCAGGGGCTGCATGCAGCGCCGGCGGCGGCGATTCAGTGACTACAGCAGCTCTCTGCTGTCTCCATCTGTCAGGTCGAGTATGATCCAAGATCCAAAAGTCCAAAAAAGAAATCAGCTATTGTTGGCTGCGGTGTTCCGAACGAGGGAGTTATGCCCAATAACAGGATTGAACTGTTGACCTTCGCATTACTCAGTATTCCGTAGAGAATATTAGTACGACGCTCTAACCAGCTGAGCTAATCGGGCTGTTGAATTGTTGGGAGACTTGAGCCAGAAAGCCGTTTATGGAGCCGAGTGGAAATTTGAACGGTTCAAATGTGGACAACATCGACGCAAATGCACCCACGGACGAACGCTGCGGGAACATCACGACTCCTTTGGCAAGGGGATTTCAGGGGTGCTGTCGAGTAACGTCCAGCCAGGGGTTGTTGTAGCCCAGGCGTCCTGGCAACAGGGTTAGCCGATGATAGCCGACAACCACCAGGTGGGGGGGACGTCATCGCCTAGCTCGGGCCAAGCTCTCCCACAGATGAACTGCGTTTCCAGGCCATCGTCAATTGGAACTGCAATTGCAATCGACGCAAAATGCCTGCACGAGTCCTCTTCTCCGCGACGGCGCTACCGCGCACCGCGCGACACACCAGCCGGTTGTTCGTCAACCGGGCGCGGTACTCGACCGGGACGAGCGCAGGCCCTCTGATCCGCATCACCAACATCCCCGCCCCAGGGTCTGGCCACATCCGCATCCTCGAGCTCAACCGGCCCGCCGCCCGCAATGCCATCTCGCGCGCCCTCCTCTCCTCACTACGCGAAGAAATTGACGCCGTGCACGCTCAGTACGATGCTGCGACGGGCGAAGAGTTGGCCGGCTCAGCATGGAACCAGCGATTCGGCGGCGCAGCCCAGGACAAGACAGGCCCGACCCGCGCGCTGATCATCGCCTCGGCACTCGACACCTCCTTCTGCGCTGGCGCCGACCTGAAGGAGCGTAAGACCTTCACCCCAGACGAGTAAGCTCTAACCCCCCCCCCCTTCCCAAAAAAACCAAAAAAAAACCAAAAAAAAACCCCCCCTCAACCAACAACCCTAGCTAACTACCCGGCAACAGAACTTCGGCCTTCCTCCTCACTCTCCGTACAACCCTAACCTCGCTCTCGGCCCTCCCCATCCCAACCATCTCAGCCATCTCCTCGCTCGCCCTCGGCGGCGGCCTCGAGCTCGCGCTCGCCACGCACTTCCGGGTGCTGACAGCCAACGCGGTGGTGGGCCTCCCCGAGACGCGGCTGGGCATCATCCCGGGGGCGGGCGGGACCTTCCGGCTGCCGGCGCTGATCGGGGTAGCGCGCGCGCGCGACATGGTGGTGACGGGGCGGCGGGTGTCGGGGCCCGAGGCCTACTTCCTCGGGCTGGCGGACCGGCTGGTCGAGGTGCGGCCCGACACGGAGGAGGAGGCGGCCGAGTGGGGGGCGCTCGACGAGGGGGAGCGTGGCGGGCAGATACTCGCGCGAGCGAGGCGGACGGCGCTGAGCGAGGCTGTCCGGCTGGCGGGCGAGATTGCCGAGGGCGGGCCCGTCGCCGTGCGTGCTGCGCTGCGGGCGGTGCAGGAGCCTGGGGAGCTGATGGAGGGGAGTATGTATGAGAGGGTGGTGGGGACCGAGGATCGGGATGAAGCGTTGAGGGCGTTTGCGGAGAAGAGGAAGCCCGTGTTCAAGGGGCGGTAGTGGTTCTTGGCTGGGCTGTCCGGGCGGAGCTAGTATCGCACCGTCGTGAGGGCGTTTGCTCTGGTTTTGGAGCTTGGGAGACCCATAGGGCTCTTGTCCAGGTAGCGCCATGTTGTACACCACGTCATCAGGCAGGCAAATGCGCAGTACGCTTCAGGTTTTGGGACTTGGAGTGGACATTGCCCATCATTTTTGGATCCGCGGCCGACTCACGTCTCGCAATTACAAACACTCGCACTGAAAGTTACCTGTCGGAGAGTCGCCGCTGGTTCCTGGATGGGGACATGGGTCTTTTTTAGCAGTCTCCTAGAAATGACCGACGACACCGCACCCTGGAAAATTTCTCGAATACTGCAGGCGCAGCTGCGCTAGAGCTTGAAGCATGTGCTTGGGTCCCTTTTAATCGCTCCCCCACCCCATGGACGTCATTGGCCTTGCGCCTGCTTGGGACACTGGCCGCTGCCCCACCAAATACAGAGACAAGAGAGAGGCTATGACATCACCACGACGAAACTGTACCTGCCGTGAAGATCCCAAAGCCGCCTTTAAAACTGTCCACGCCGACTTGCCTTCTCGGATATTTTTTCTCTTTAGTCAATTCCTGACTATATCAACTCAAAAAACAATCCAACTCTTCAGACAAACCACCACAAACTCACAACCGCAAAGCACACATCACCATGTCGTTCCTCACAGAAACTGCTATGCGCCGCGTCGCGGCCCTCCAGGTGCCTCGCACGCTCGCCACAAGTGCGCCCCGCGCCAGCTTCTCGACCAGCATAGCCTTCCAAAAGACAGCGACCGACTCCGCCAAGGACGCGCTCAAGTCGGTCGACCGCGCAGTCAGCGACAAGCTGGTAGACGGCATCGACATCGGCAGTACGTGTTTCCCCCTTCGTCCCCCTCACCCCTACCAAAACTAACCCATCTCCTACAGCAACCGTCGCCAGCAAGCTCAAGGAGACGACCGAGAACATCACGGCCGGTGACGTCAAGGGCAAGGCGGCCGAGCTACAGGGCGAGGCCAAGGGAAAGGCGAGCGAGATGGCGGGCAAGGCCAAGGGTGCTGTGGGCGAGATGGCGGGCAAAGCGCAGGGCACGGCCGAGGAGGTGTCGGGCCGGGCGCAGGGGTCCGCACAGCAAGCTGCTGGCAAGGCCCAGAGCACCGCGCAGGAGGCCGCGGACAAGGCGAAGGGGGCGGCGGAGCAGGTGAAGCGGAATATGTAAGGGGTTTGTAAGGGGAGGAATGATGGGAGTGTGGGTTATAATGTTGTATAATATATCCTTACAGCGGCGCGTTGCATTGAGTCCGCTGATAGCCTGGTTGGCGCGGCGCTCTCTTTATGAGGGAATTGAACCCCTTCCCTTATTCTTCACATCAAAATGTCCTTGTCCCGTCGTGGTCGTGTGGGCGGTTGTCAGGTACATTTACGGTGTTACCCTTTGTGGCACTCGCCATGAAGCATACCGTCAATCCAGCAAACATGCATGCGAGCGCGAGGAAGGTATCATCAGCCCGGTCCATCACAGAACGACAGAGTGGCAAATCACCAACTCTTCAGCAGTCTACAAGAAAAATGTCCCGACGCCAGCACTCCCACCCTCGTAATTCGCCCAGCACCACCTCTCCCAAGGGAGAGATAGTAGCAAGACACGAGGCCGGGCAGCTTCTCTTCCCGTGGCGCCGGCCGTTTGAAACGCGCCCACCGCCGCCAGCCAGAGGACAAAAGTCCTCGGCGGAGGTGGCCAAGCCGTTGCAAACATTTGTGATTTTTTTATTCTACCGCTCGGAATACAGAGCTGGATCAAGGATGGGTCTCGCCTTGTGCTCCACCAAGCCGTGCGGATGATGTGTTGTGACGAGTAAGAGAGGAAAGGGAAGGGAAGAATCAAGAAAACTTAGAGAGAAAAAAATCCGGATCAAAGTTTCTCACACACACCGGTCGCGAGGTCGACGAGGGGCCCGGGATCCTCAATTCATGCTTCATATCTGTCCTGTTTGGTGCTGATCCATGTCAGCTCGCTCGTCGGGTATCGTACAGCCTCTCTTTCGGCTGCCTTATCTGCTCCGGAGCAGATTTCACGAGCATAAACTGTTCCGACCGAGAGGTTCGCCATAATTTTGTAAACCAACAACTTTCTCCAAGAAACGACCGTGATCTTGCATCACAACCATCTCTCCAACATGATAAATCGCCAAATAGCCCGCTTCCTTCGCTTCCATGGCGCGCTTGGCTGCCATCCCTAAGCTGGCGGCGCTGCGTTAGTCGCATCCTCGACCTTGCCGTCGAGCTCCTCAAAAACTCTCAACCATCCACATCCATCTGCTCCGAGGCTTTGCCGCCCATCTTTTCTCACTGGGCTTCCTCGAATTTATCCAGGCCTTCCCACATAGTCTTCTTGTTCTTCTCGAGAATCAACTTCTTGACAGGCGGTCCTTCCCCAGCCGTAAAGTAAACGAACCGCCTGGTCCTGGACGTGTCTTTGATCCATCGGCCCTCTTTATTGGTCAGCAGCTCCTCCGTATCCGGTGACGACTCACCCTTCCGGATAGGGTTCTCCTCCTGTACAACAACCCCATATCCAAAAGGCATGTCCGCTTCCAAGGAAGGACCCTATCCTTCCTCGAAAAAGACGCGCTTGGTGCCCCGATCCGCCTCCATTTGTTCCAACTCGCGATCAATCTCCATAATGTCCATGATCTCTTGGTCCACATCCCGGGCCTCGGCCTCGGATTCGTCATCCGGCACATCCGCCGCATAGCTAAGATCGTTTCCGAACAAGAAGCCGGGGTTCCGCGGCTGGCTGTTTAACGCCTGATCCTCTTCAATGGGCTCGGTCGAGGGGAGGATCTCCATCGATTCGTCAACATTGTCAAACAAGCCCTTGACAGCACCCCGTGGCCGAAGCAGTCCTCCGGTGGGCCCCGAAACGCTCAGGTTGAACGCAACGCTGTTCGGCTTCTGCTGTCTGGGATACGTGAGGATAGCCTTGGCCGCAGTAATGTCGGCGCGCGGCTTCTTGCGAGCGCCGAGCAGGCGGGTTGTGAGTGACGCGCCGCTGTCTTCGCTCTCGTGCACGATGACGATACGGCTCTCGCCCTGGACAAGGACCTCGATGGG